CAAGAGGGCGAGGGCCGGCGACGAGCCACCGCGACCGGCAGGCGCAGGCGGGGTTCCCCGGCAGAGCCGGCCGTCATCCGGTCGCGGCGGCCGTCGAATGCGACAGGCGCGACGGTCGACAAGAAGCTGTGGGAGGGCGCCTTCCTGGCCGGCTGGCGCCTGCGCGCGAGCAGCGAGGCGGGCCGGATCGCGGGCCATTGGAGGTACGTCTCGCCCGACGGGGTCGTCGCGGAGACGCGTGCGGCGGCGCTGCGGCAGCACCAGGAGGCTCGGTACGCGCGCGCGGGAGGCGCCGCGAGGGCGCCATCCCCGCCGCACGAGGCGCCGGTGGCGGAGGCGGAGGGGCTGCGGCTGCACCTCTCGAGCAGGACACCCACCGGCTACAAGGGCGTCTCCTGGACGGGGTCAACGTACCGCGTCGACGCGCACCACGGGCAGGGCGGGAAGAAGGTCTACCTCGGCACCTTCGACACGGCGGTGGAGGCGGCGGTGGCGTACGCGCGCGCGTGCCCCTCCACCTCTCCGCCAGGGCCGGCGCCGTCCGCCCGAGCGGCGGCGCACCAGGCTCCGGCGGTGGCGAAGCAGGCGGCCGGGCTGCGGCTGCACATGTCCCCGGGCAGTTCCACCGGGTACATGGGCGTCTTCGAGGCGACGTCCGGCCGCTACAAGGTCCTGCGGAAGCTGGGCGAGCGCGGGAGCAAGGTGCTCACCTACCTCGGCACCTTCGACTCGCCGGTGGAGGCGGCGGTGGCCTTTGCGAGGGCGGGCGGGGGCGAGGAGGCGCCGTCGTCCGACGAGGAGGGCGAGCAGGCCGCCACCTCCGGGCCAAAGAGCGAGCCAAGGAAGCGGTCGAGGGTCCCAGGAGACCCCGACGCCCCTGCCCGCATTCCACGCCGTCCACCTGCGGGCGTGCCAAAGCAAGCGACCGTGCGCAGGCTCATCGTGCGCCTGGATTCGATACTCTGGGGGTATGGTACTAGGCGTGCCAAAGCAAGGGACCGTGCGCTGGCTCGTCGTGCGCGCGATGCACGCCGCCTGCGCGCCCGGCAGCTCCACGTCTCGCGACGAGCTCCTCCGGCCCGTGATACCGCACTACCCATGAGACCGAACCCACACTGGGTTCGATACTCTGGGGGTATGGGACTAGGCGCGTCCGGAGGAGCACGCCGCGATGCATCCGAGACTGCCTCTCGCGCGAGGCCAGCGCCCCGCAGCCGCTCTTTCGGACTGTCACAGTCAACGACCCCTCCGCCCGCGCGAGCAAGCAGCCCCGCCACAACGGCGCCTTCTCCTCCGGCGGCGGAGGCATCCCGACCGCGTACGCGCTCACCGCGGCCGGCGAGGCGCTGCGCGCGGCCATGGACCGGGCCGAGGAGGAGGCGGAGGCGGCCGAGGCGGCCGAGGCGGCCGAGGTGGCGGCGAGGGCGAAGCGGGCGAGGCTAGAGTCGGGCTGGGTGGCGACGGACCTTCGGCTGTGGGAAGGCGCCTATGCCGCCGGCTGGCGCGTCATCGAGTCGCACGGCCGCTGCACGTACTTCTCGCCCGCAGGCGAGGAGCACGGCACGCTCGCCGCAGCGCTCGAGTTCCGGCGCGCCTCCGCCGCGGGGGAGCAGCAGGGCGCTGCGTTCGGCTGGCAGCGCGGCTACTCGCAAGAAGGCGAGCCGTACTACTACCACGCCGCGAGCCAGGCGACGCAGTGGGAGGCGCCGGCAGGGTGGAGGGAGGACTTGGCGGAGGCGGGCGAGCGCGCCAGGGCCCACCAGGCCAGCCTAAGCGAGGAGGTCGAGCCCGAGCTGTGAACAGCGTCTCTTCACACCTGCAGCTGTGAACAGGCCAGCCTAAGCGAGGAGGTCGAGCCCGAGCTGTGAACAGCGTCTCTTCACACCTGCAGCTGTGAACAGGCCAGCCTAAGCGAGGAGGTCGAGCCCGAGCTGTGAACAGCGTCTCTTCACACCTGCAGCTGTGAACAGGCCAGCCTAAGCGAGGAGGTCGAGCCCGAGCTGTGAACAGCGTCTCTTCACACCTGCAGCTGTGAACAGGCCAGCCTAAGCGAGGAGGTCGAGCCCGAGCTTGCCCGGGCGGTCTACGCCTTCGCCGGCGCGGGCAGCGGCGAGCTCAGCCTCGACGCCGGCGACGTGGTGCTCGTGTCGGGCAAGGAGGAGGACGGCTGGTGGACGGGCGCCAAGCAGAGCGAGCCAGGGCGCGTGGGCCTCTTCCCCGGGTCGTACGTCGAGGTGTTTGGGCTTGCGGGCGGGGCGGCGGGCGGGGCGACCCGTCCGCGAGGCCGCCTTTCTGGGCCGCGAGCCCTTGCGTCTCGACGGGACCTACGAGCTGTACGCCACGGGCAAGCTTCTTCGCTGTGTGGCCTGTTCCTAACCAGACTCTGCCTGGGCCCTCCAAACAATGTGTGTCGATTAACCCGTCCAACGCGGGCGCGGGGCCCCCCGGAGTCTTTTAACC